GACACCCCATTAAATAATCAGCTCTTTAATAAGAACTGTTTGCATATCAATGTCCAATCATGTTTTCATGTATTACTGGAGAAAAAAGGGACTTAATTGCAATTAAACAGCAAAAATTAACATTTTGTTACACATAAAAAAAAGATATGAACAAAAATGTGTATTTTAATGGAGAAAAAAAAGTTAGGGCACCCTACCCCCTAATAACTAGTGTTGCCCCCTTTGGCTGATATAACTTCAGTGAGACACCTTTTGTAGCCTTTTACCAGTCTCTGACATCGATTAGAAGAAAGTTTGCCCCACTCCACAATGCAGAATTCTTTCAGCTGGGGGTTTCTTGCATGTACAGCCCGTTTCAAGTCACCACACAGCATTTCAATGGGATTAAGATCAGGGCTTTGACTTTGGCCATTCCAGGACTCTCCACTTCTTAGTTTTTAGCCAGTCCTTGGTGGATTTGCTGGTATGCTTTGGGTCATTGTCATGTTGCTGTCTCCAGTTCCACTTCAGCTTTAATTGTTTGTTTTTTTGTTTTACAGATGATTTCACATATTCTTCAAGCACCCTCTGATACACAGTCGAATTCATGATGGATTCTATGATGGTGAGCTGGCCAGGTCCTGCTGCAGCAAAGCATCCCCAAACTATGATACTGCCACATCCATGCTTCACAGTTGGTATGAGGTTCTTTTCTTGGAAGGCTGTATTTGGTTCATGCCAAACATGTCTACTGTTCTGGTGTCCAAATAATTCAATTTTAGACTCATCAGTCCAAAGAACATTATTCCAGAAGTCATTGTCTTTGTCTATGTTCACTCTGGCAAACTTCAGTCTGGCCTTAATGTTTCTCTTAGAGAGTGAAGTTTTCATCCTTGAACACCTCCCATAAAAGTCAAACTTGTGTAGTCTCGTTCTGATAGTAGAGTCACGCACTTTCACATCGACAATAGCCAGAGCCAGCTGTAGTTCCCTGCTACTCTACACCAACCCCACTACACGAAGATGCCACACCAATAAAACCACTGTAGAGGAAGTAAACAACAGTGATTATCTTATTAGAACGCAGTGTTCTTCAGAGAAACATTGGTTCCTGGCATTCGTGTGGATGTTTCTTTGACACATAACACGTGCCCAAACATTGTTGCGAACCAAGCAAACAATGAACTGCGACCCCCCCCCCCCCCCCAAAAAAAAAAACAATGCTCAGGAGGGGCTTAAAGGAAGAGCTTTTGATTTAGCCTCCAAATTTCCCAGATTCCAAGGACTGCATCCGCATGATACGTGAGGTCTTGAGGAACCAGAGGTGTGAAGGGTCAGAGGTGATTTAGCCGCAGGTAGGGGACTTACACAATGTTAGGAAGGTGGTTTTAATGCTGTGGCTTGGTGGTGTATTTCACATGAAAATATGCTGCTTCTTTTACTCCACTACCCAAAAGTATAAAACCTTTAAAACTAGCTAGGGTACTCTTTCCATTTTTGAAAATAGAAATACTATTATAGTTTTAAATAGTTTCAGAGGCGAGTGAAATGAGCTCAAAGAAAAAGTCAAGCTTTGGTTTTTTGCGCAGTTTGTCAAATCAGCAAAATCTTCTGTCTTTCACATTCGTTTAAAATGTTAAAGAATAAAACAAGAAATGGAAGACTTCTGACCGAGAACATGAGGTACCAGGCAGAGAAAGCGCAGCAGCAGATTGGACTGAATAATTGTGAGCAACATCAAGCAGAGCAGGTGTGAAACAGCAGCAGGGATCACTTCTAGGATAAATGAGACTTACCAAATGCAAGTCTGTTTACAGAACATTTAAAGTAGAATCAAGGAATTCGGATAAAAAGGGTGTGTGATGTTTAAAACTCAGAAATTATGGCTATGATTTTCAAACAGACATGTACTGTTGTTTGTTTTTGCAGTGGTGTGAGTGAGCTTGTATGTATCGATGGTACTATGATGTAGAAATTATGAAGTGTAAATATTTGGATGCAAACTTAAATCAGCCAAATACATAAATAAAAATACACCTTTTATTTACATTGTAACTGCATACCCCTCTGAAATCCTTTGCTATAACCTGATATACACCCCCTAGAAATGTAACTACACGTCGACTCTCACCGACATCTTGGTTAGGTACACCTCTTCAACTCCTGATTAGCCGATTACATGGCTTGATCTCAGTGCATTTGGTTGTTATGGTCAAGATGACTTGCAGAAGTTCAAGCCAGACATCACAAGGAGAAGAAAGGTGATTTACGTGACTATTAATGTGGCATATTTGTTAGTGCCAGATGAGCTGGTCTGATTATGTTAGAAACTTTTGATGTACTGGGAATTTCCCACAGAACCATCTCTTGAGTTTACCGAGAATCATCTGAAAAACAAGACACCCAGCCAACAGCAGTTCTCTTGGTGAAAATATCTTGTTGATGCAAGAGGTGACTGGCCATATTGTTTTGAGCAGCTAGGAAGGCAAAAATAAGTCAACCACTTGTTACAACCAAGGTTGTAACCAGAAGAGCATCTTTGAATGTACAGCACGCCAGTCTTTGAAGCAGATGGGTTACAGTAGCAGAAAACCACAGTCTGTACCACTCTTGTCAACTAAAAACAGGAAACTGAGGCTGAGATGTGTATGTACTAAGCAAAATTAGACAAGAAAAGATTGGAAAGATGTTGCCTGCTCTGATTCTCAATTTCTGCTACGGCATCCTGATGGTTCGGTTATGATGGCTTCTTCCAGCAGGATAATGCACAAACTTCAAATCATCAAGATCATCAGATCTGAATCCAACTGAGCACTTTTGGATGTGGTAAAACAGGAGATTTGCATCATGGACTCAAACATGACAAATCTGCAGCAACTGTCACACAGTTGCTTCAGTGGACCCAAACATGGACTAAATCTCTGAGGAATGTTTTAAGAGAATTAAGACGGCTATGACAAAAGAGATTTAACATGGTACTAGCAAGGTGTACCTAATAAAGCGTCTGATGAGCGTATGTGACCGAAGTCGATCTTCAGCCCCCCCGTTGTAGAAATATTTTGCAAATGAGGAAATTAAATTCACAGAATATCCCACAGAGCACATGCAGCATACAGAAGCGTGAATGAGCGGATATCTGTGCCCTCTGTCACATGGAGGAAACCACAGCTATTTCAACTAGTTGACTTCATGGCCCAATATTGTCAAGCAGTTTCTGCAAACTGCAAGGAACCCAGCCTAGTTTCTGAAAGACTGTGACTGAACTCTTTAGGGCAGCCACTGCTGCATGACCAGAGTGTTTTCTTACATATGTATTTTTAAAAAAAATATAATTTAAAGTGTAGCTGTGCCATTTTGCTTTAAAATAATTTGCTTAATCTTTGACATTTTGTCATCTAGTGCAGTTGACCTACATTTTTTTAAAGTGTGGTTTTGGTATCCAAACACATTTTTGAGGTTACCTTACACGTAATACACATAATACAGTGATGTGTGGCATCTTAACAAAAGAAAATGATTCTTTCAGCAAAACTGTACACACAAGATATGCATTTTACAACAAAGATTGGATATAGATGTAATATATTATGATGACTGTAGACTACACCTCTCTCCATATTTACATTTTTATTTCCAGCACGGCTTATATATATTTATATATACATATATATACAAATATAAACAATAAGTAACAGTTTCTGCCTTCAAAGTGGAAATAGTTGTGTACCTTAACATCAGTCTTTCATGCATATGAGTTTTGCTTTGTGTGCTCGGTGCAGTAATTGGAACTCTCCGGCACTGACATTAGTGACTGTTTGCCATCTTCTTGCTGTGGGGTGCTAAAGGACTCCTCTTCCTCTCCATAGGGGAGCTTACAGTCAGGTTTTATCAAGTCCGCAGGTATGAAAGCTGGTGTCCCACAGGACCCGTTTCCTATGTGCAAAGTGATGTTAACGTTGACGTGTGGGCTGGTAGTTATGGGCGTGATGATCTGAGGGCTGCTGGGCTGAGAGGACGTCTGTGTTTGGATACTGGGCTGTGGTGCAGCAGAGTCTTTGTTGGAGTGTAAACTCTTGGGCTCGGACAGAACAGACAATGGATTGTCAAGCGCAAAAGTGGAATGTAAAGGGCTGATGGATTCCTGGCTGCTGCAACCATCAGTTCTAGTTAAAGTTTCGGTATTGGTTGTGCATTGACTGTGATCACTGCTGGCTTCCCCTTTTTCTAGCAGGCACTCATTTTCTTGTGATGCAACTTTGAATAAAGTCAGCTGAGTTTTCCCACTGTATTTCTGCAGGGAGGAAGAAAAAGAGAAGTTCATTTCCAGCGGATTTTTAAAAAAATCACAAACACTGAGCTATTCTGCCATAAAGACTAATTTTATGGTGCCTACCAAGCCCAGTTTTTATTGATGCTTTTATTGGAAGTCGCACTGTGGTTACAGTTAGCAGTGGTGTTGTACTGGACTGGATTATATCAATAAACGTGCAAATGGGAATGTTTCATGATTTAATTGTTGTAAAACTGAACGCAATCAACTTTAAAAGGGGGAGAATAAATGGCAGTGATCTTGTACTGAATTGCAGACCACAGAGGATGTGTACTTTACTAAATGTAGGGTGTATTCAGTATGAAAGATAGAAAGCCGAGACTTACTTCGTCAGCAGTCTCACAGTTTCCGTTTGCATCCACCTTAGGAGATAAACTTGCAGTGTCTAAGAAAAAAGAACAATGGTTGTACGTAAGAGAGGGAAAGTGTAATAAAAACTGTTCCTTGTGAAGAAGTTAAAAACTAACTGGTCCTTATCATTCTCTAATGTAACTCAGAAATAAACATAATGCCTATAAAAGCATATATTTACCTTTCTTGCAGATTTTTTGATAATAACATAGCAGAAAAAGGATGATGGTGATGACAAGTAATCCAGTGACAGAAGCAATTAATCCAACTAAGAGAGGTAAGCAGAGATACATCTCAAAAGAAGCAAGAACAAGAGCACTTTTGAAATACTTTTCATACACAGCTGTTTTCTTATGAGTAGTCTGAAAGTTAGTCAGTTATAGTACCATAACTGCTGTCAGGCGGTGGGGTCAGTCGGCTTGTTATTAAATAGGTGGAGGGTTCTTCTGAAACTGAGGCAGACTGTGTGGTGCTTCTTAGCAGAGATGTCGAGCCTGAGCTTGGTGCAACTGTGGTCGTGCTTGTGCTGGGAGTTGTACCGACACTCTTCTTGTGATTGTCAGCTGTTGTCAAATTTGAGTACGGTTCACACACATTGTCTGATTCAGTATTGCCTTCTCTAAGAACAGCCCTCCCATTGCAGCTGAAGAGAACAAAGAGAAGGGTCAGCAATTTGAGTCTGGAACACCTTTGTGGAAATACCATAGCTCTCCTTCACTCACTCTGTGTGGGGCTGGCAGGGGTCAGTGGAGGAGGTCTTGTCAGAGAACGTGCCTTCGGGACATATTTTACACTTCACATCTGAATTTGGTGTGCCTGGCAACAACAGAAAAACATTTAATTTAATGACGTGTTTCACTCTATGACTTGTATTGTATGGAACATGTTAAAAAACAACATTAATAAAAGCACTGGCATATTGAGACTTCATGGGAAATATCAGAGAGACTGAATAGAAATCTGTAGAAAAAAACGCTGTAGCTGCGAAGAGTGCATCTGACCCACTGTCCCGAAAAAAGCAGTCACATGAGCACAGTATACCGACAGCTATATTGCACTAAGGATAAAGGTCAATATACTAATAATGTCATAACATGGTATTTGTTGAGTGATTTGGTGGGATGAGCCAGAATAATTGATCATGTTGATGACTCTTGATTGATCTATAAATGAATCTGTAACAGCATATAACTTTGTCAATGAGTGGAACAAATTTTCAAAAAACTTTTTCAAAAAATTAAAGCTGTGAAAAGGCCGATGGGGTATTGTTGTCACACCGCTGGGTGGGCAGGTGGCGTGGATACCTACGTTTGTGAATGCAATAACTCAAGCACAAGGTGAGGTAGGAGTTTCATATTGATACTGTAGGTGTATCTACTAAAACTGTCGGAGTTGTTTGAATCTCGTCAGGTTTTCTGAAAATCTTGTGAATGCGATGACTTCAGAACAAGGCAACGCAGGATTTTGAAACTGATATTATAGCTGTATCTACGAGGAGGCTGAGGGCCGACACCAGTACTTTTTCTATTCCAGTAACCACTAAAGTTAAAGCTATACTTAGAAAAGGGCCTGTTCTTGTTAAATCAAAACATCAACCCAGATAAGTGTGGACTGTGGGAGGAAATTAAAGCACCCAGAGGAAACTCACACAGGCAATCAGGAGGTCTTGCTTGAGGCAAAAGTGCTAACCACTGCACCAGCATGTACCCCTCTCCTTTTATTTTTGTTATATTTTTATTAGTAGTAATTACAGAAGACCCTCACAGAAAGAAGTTGGCTCATCTGACAAATGGTACATCCTTAAATTTCAAAATATTGTTTTAAGATGTACCATAAAAACATAGTGACAAGATATATATATAAAAAAAGTTTTACCTTTTACAGACACTCCCAAGCCAGGTATGCATTGTTTGTATTTTTTGCAGTCTGAGCAGTATGGATTGTCATATCCCAAGCGGCAGAACCTCCCAGGTCTGCAAATACACTTGGACGGTGTTGTAGAGGAGCAGTTCTGTGCATACTGTAAACCTTTTTCTAGTTGAAGACAGAAAAGTATTCTTTGCTCACATCCATTGCTTGTTGGTATTAAACAAAACAATAACTGGACAAATATGAGTGTAATAACATGGAGATGTACAGTTCATCCACTGACCTTCTTTGCATTTTTGACAGCTATTACAGTTTGGATAGAAGTTAAAGTTCTCTCGATACTGATCCGGAGGACATGGTGTACACACAGTATCGGTAGTTTCAGTGCAACGTGTGTCCCCTCGATAGCCTGTAATTATATCATTTTAGTTACTTAACTTACATTTATATTTAATTTATAAGTTTTATGTGCATTTTATTACTGCACATAGGTACCGTAACTCTACAAAAGCCCCAAAAAGGCCAAAAGCATAAGTTTAATGTTATTTGTCATAGTTGTTAATTGTTCAGCCTAATAAAATCTGGTCATATTTTGATAACGTAACAGTGACACATACAATGCATTATAATACAATACTTTATACTCTGTCCCTGAGTGCATTAAGTTATTGCAACTATAGCATTTAATACACACATTTAACCGATAAAAGGCAGTCCAATAAAATGTCTGCTGCATTCATTCAGTGGTAAAGTGGGAAGTAAAACAATTAACTTCATACTGAGTGGGAGAGATGAGATTAGTGAGCATGGGAGATCAAGTTATCTCATGAGCAGGGGTGGAGCGAGGGCAAAACGGCTGAAATGCTTCAAAGCAAAACTGATTTCCAGCTCAGTGTGGCCCAAATCACTGTTGTCACAGCAGGAGGTTCACAAAGCCAAAAACACACACAAGCCACTGCTTAACAAAAGAGGAAATAAACAGAGGGAAATCCTTGTGTGAATGCACCTTTTGTTAGTGCAGTCATTACGAAACCCAGCCTACCTGCAGTATTAACCAGCATTTTTGTTCGGAGTCAGGAAGTACACATTTAACAAGCTGGTAGTTTTTGTTGCAGAAAGAACAAAAAAGCCCCTGTTCTCTATTCCTCAAATCCCATAAAGTCCACCACTGAGTAATACCTTAGTATTTAATATATCTGTATCATTCAAAAGAGTGTTCATTGTTACTACTTGTTGACAGGTACTACCTTTTTATGTTACAGTATACACATTGTATTTTAACTATGAAATTCTACATAGTAATAGCTTGATTTTTCATGTCTATTTCAGTTTGTAATAGATGTGGAACTGTAGACTTTTATGAGGCTTTGTGTGTGCACCTTTCCAAATGAAGTTGGGCGGTCTGTGTTTGTTAAGCTGTGTTATGTGTAAGGTATTAAAATTCTGCTTTAAATCTTTAAGTAATTAACAGTATTGTGCGTTTGCTTTCCTTCGTCTCTGAGGATGAAAGAGCAGCTTATAAATACATATAATTAGTCACAGTAGGTGAAAATTTCCTTCTTTCACACCTTCACACCCAAGTTTTACTAACACGTTTCATGACATGCGTTAGTGCTCATCGTGTAGTGATGCAACTTTCAGAATAGCTTATACCATTGTTTATCTAGTCTAACTGTTGTGGTGGAAAGTTTTGTAAAAAAAAAAATGGAGTCTTTGTTATGTTTACAGGACAACTCTTACCAGGGCGACACTTTGTACAGCACAGGCCATTGTGATTGTACTCTGTGTCATTTCGACACTGTCCATTTTCACTCTTGTAGGGTGTAGAGCAGACCTATGGGAAACAGACAAATACTTGAGCGCATCTCATTTTCTGCTCCTTAGATGTAGACAGCGAAGAATGCTGTAACCCTCCAACCCAGAGCCAGTAATTCAGGTAAATTTAGTAATTCTGAAATTACAAATTTATGTGGAAAGTGTATGACGTTTTTGCTATAAATGTTCTCAGAAGTAGACAATAAGCGTAAACATTAGCAAACTCAGTTAAGATAGTAATTTCAAAATCAAAGATTTAGTCACTGTCTGATATAGGAAACAGACAGGTTGAGATATAACCTGCTGTACTTTTGAGTATGTTAAATAGGACCTTAAAGTAGAACCAGACTACCCACACCTTCGCCCACTTTTTCCTTTCTGGTAATGGTGCTGGCCCCAGTGCAGACATGGTCAAACAAGCAAACTCTTGTTCAGAATTCATAGGAAGTGACTCTTTTTTCTGCAGTATTTCTGGGCGTTTGGGCAGTGCACGCATACCAATGCCTTAACTCACATGCCATCTCTGCCTGTGCTTCTGTCTCACACACCAAAAGATAGTAAAGACTGAAGTACATTGTAGCTGCTTGCACACCTGTCCTATGCACACACAAAAAAAACATGAAACTCCCTCACCGCAGTGGCCTCCAATGACAAGCAAAATGAACGATTATGCTGACTGCAGCACCGTGTTTCTCGTATTACAGGAAACAGAGGCGGCGACCTGGAAGCGCTGGGTTCCTAAGCAGTAAATTCTTGTGTAGTGTGACCACCGGTACTACTGCGAGTCATGACAAAGGTGATTTATGAAGCACTTTGTTATTTCCTGACAGTTAATCAGTGATAATAGTCTGTGTTTTCCTCCAGCTCTCGGCTTCATGCCTAAAACAACTAATGATTTACAGAAAAGCACAGTGATACAGGGAGATAACAGAAAGAGCTGCTCCTTCATTTCTGCAATGAGATATTCAGTCTGAAACTCCATTAGAGAGCAAGTAACCGAAACCAAACATTCATACAGGTTCACCACAGCACAGCCTATTCATTAAAATTCCACGGTAAAACTTACTGTAATATGAGCACATTGATACAGACTATTAAGAAATGCTTTAAAAGAAATGAAAAACTCTCCGTTTGTTGGTTTCAGGACAGGTGATCAGATTAAACAATATACAGAAACACATTAGAAAGGTTAAATTACATGACAGAAGTTAGACATCTACATTAAATCTTTAATGTTAATGACGGTCTTTCAGTGATTTCAGAGAACTGCGTCTTTAGTTCCTTTTCCATTTAAACTGTCCCTCTGGTCATTAGCTGAATCCCACTGCACTGGTATTCATCCAGTCTGCGATGAACAGTACAATCAAGCATGACAGACTTAAAGACAGTGACAAAGCCTACCTTGATAGTTTGGGCACACAGCAGAAACAGGAGTAAAAGCGTGTCCTTCATTGCTTCTTTAAAGTAAACCACAGAGGAGACGAGTCGGCAGCCAGCGTGCGCACTGTACTTTTCATTTCTAGGCGGGTCAACGCTCACTGTGCTCATGTGTAAGCAGGAGTAGTTTCCTTGAACTGAGTTAAGTAGTTGGAGGAAGTAAACCAGTAACACGTATTCACATATCTGTAAAAACCTAATACGAAGTGGTACAGTTCATGTTTAAAAAGCGATGTTGGACTCCCACATGTTTACATATGATATCCGTTATAAAGGCGCAGTATAAGATTGCTATGATCTCAGCGTTTGTTTACTGGGGTAAGAATTCAGTGTCTGCTAAAAGAGTAAGATTTACTCCAGCTGCTGGCTGTGCCGTGAGGAAACAATGGTGTTTATGGATAATATTTCTTTCATGTTAAAGTAAAATTTAGACTTCTACAAAGAAATGTCTGCCTATGGACAGAACACCAGTATGAATAGGTAATAATTAAATTAGTACATATGAAAAGGGGTCGTTAGGTCAGTAACATGATGTGCCAAAAAGTTTGTCACATAAAAAAATTAAGAAATAGACCTTGGAACAACAGCTTGGAAGTCATTTTTAACCCACATCTTTTCGCATTATGTAGATTTGCTAAGTGGTCTTTACTAGTTTCAACAAGAAGGTAGGGCTTTATTATCAGTATCTAAACATCTGAGTGAAAAGACATTGGATCTGGCATTCTCAGCTACTAAGTTCTATTTAGTTATGTAAACAAAGAGTTTTATTCAGCTAAAATGCATGTGACATTAGTGTTTAGCTATAAGCATTAAATTTGCTGATGTGCATTGAGATGAGGATTGTGTGTCTGTTGCCCTTCAACGCTCGAACGTAGATCAGCATAAATGCACCAGAATTACTTCCCACTTATCGTGGTTACATCTGCCTAATTATGCTGCTTTAAATTCAAACTCAGCAATCAAGTTCTGCTGCTGAGGGCTGTACTGCAAAATAGCATTTGGGACTTAGCAGGGTTACTTAAGGTTCAGCCCTGAGTTTTTAGTGTCACAAAGATTGTTGGAAGATAATGAAAAACATCGTCTTGGAGTTGTAAGATTCAAAATAAGGACATTGTCCTAAAACCTAAGTTTTGATACTCATGTGTAAGCAGGAGCAGTTTCCTTGAACTGAGTTAAGAAGTTGGAGGAAGAAAACCAGTAACACACATTCACATATCTGTGAAACCTAAGTTTTGATACTTGTCACCCTATATACATTTGTAAGCCTGCTTACAAGTTTGAATTGTGCTTTTGTATTTCTTCAGTCCATTTAACACGACCAGGGTTAGGGCTGAAAGAGCAAGCCGAATCTTGTCTTACCTGCCATAAGACTAGCAACAACACACTAGATACAATATGTAATTATAGTCAGATTCACCTGTGCCTTAATGAAGGCGTAGTGATTCTGGTAAACGTTAGGTTTTGTTGGCAGCTTTCCTTTCCAGTTGTAAATGGACTTTATCTGTAAGCATTTGTCTAGTCTAAATCACAATTGCATTGCTTTTAGCCTGTATTATGCCAACAGCATACTTCTCCATGTGGTCGGTAGACTAGATTGGGAGATCTTGGATCAGCTTATGGAGCTGAAAACTACTTTAATTTGATCATTTAATAGGATTTTTGATGTTCGGGGAAAAACTGACAGGTAATAAAAAGTTAAGCGCTGTGTCAACAATTCATTCAAAAAATAGAAGTGCTAAAAAAAATATGTATTGAAGTCACCTTTAAAACAGGAAGTGAATGCCCTAGATTTCTTTATACACAGCAACCTAGATGCACAGCCGTCTATAGAGCACAGCTTGCAAATTATATGGGTCAAATGCAATGGCTATTGTACTACCTAATCTACTCAAAGGATTGATGTGGATAGATATGTGTGGCTAGACTTATAGTTTTGTCACACGAATAAAGATTTTTAAGTTCCTTTTTAATGATCTAAAAAAAGAAACCAGAAACACAGGTTCAACTCTGTGGCTGCTAGCTGACATTGCTCAAGAGTCTTTGGGTGAGACTTTCCCAGCTTGATCTCTCTGTGGAGACATGGGAATAGTGAAAGGCAGAGGTTTGTTTTATCATACTTTACACCTCAACTGTTTTATTCTTGTTAAGACATGTTTTCTGCTATGACACTGAATGCGTTTGTGCTTTGCCCAGTCTGATGCCCCTGTGCCGCAGTGTTTGTTCCTGTGTGAGAAGTTGACATTTCATAATAAAGTTTCCCCTCCCACATTGTCATCACGTCTCTGCTGCTCAGCAGTATCAGCCCTCTTGTCCATTACAGTCTTCTAATGTTTAATCTAAAATAAAAAACTTTTTTCATGAAATTCTGAGCTTATTTTAGAGCATTAGCCTCACCTGAGTTTCATGTTGTAGTAAAAAACCACAACAAGGTGAATTGAAACCTTTTTAAAGGTTTTTCTAAATATCTTAACTTTCACGTGATAGGGCACTGATTTTGCATATAGTACTGATGACTAATTTCCAAAAGTACAGCATGATATTTGTTAATGACAGACATGAAACATTCTTGAGACGGGAATGAACGCACTGCTTGCTTCTATTTCTGAAGAAGTCTAAATATTTCACAGCAAATTGCGCATACCATCGAAATCCCAAAATGCATCTATGCCACCGTTACCAGCCATAATGATGATTATGCAATGCCATCTTGTCACTCTCTAGTGACTTTCAGATCCTGTTTTCGCTGAAGGAAGAAAAAGTTGCTGCTTCTAACAAATACACTGAAAGGTTTAACGACCATAATCAACAGGGTTAGATTCGTTTATTGACAAGTGTTAGAGAGAAAAACACTTTTGCTATCACAGGGCCACATCTTACACAGAAGCCTTTCATTTATGTCACAACATCCGCAAAGTAAGTCAACTATCGGATGTCTGTCTGTCAGATAACTCAGTCTCTGATGTTTGTGGCACAAACCTTCAAAGTGCTTCACCAGAACAGGAAGATATGAATTATTACCCAGTCATTATATCCCTTCTGAGCAGCAGAAATACATCAGAAAGAAATCAGTAGAATCGTGTTTACCTTATTTCTGTGGATTTAATTGGTTGAAATACATTGCATGTAGATTTTTTAATGTATTCAGAAATTCAAATTAGTTGGCTTAGAGGGGACAAACTGGAAAGCGACAGTGTTATGGGTGGGATTTCTACAGCATGTGACATTTAACATAGGTGTTTCTTTGGTTTCCTGTGAACTACTGCTTCTGTACCTTACATCAGCCCCTGCTTTTGCTTCTATTGTGTTCTCAGCTCAACATTAAGGAAGTGTCAAAGGAAGCTTAAAAACAGAAGTAAGCTAGACCCTGGAGCCAAAACAAGAGGCTGGAAATGGAAAAGCAAACTTGAGACACCCAAAACAACGTCCTTTATGTTGCAATGTTGTACATACACTTCACTGAGTAATTCAAAGTAGTCTTGCTTCACATCCACAAGGCTGTTGACAGTAACATGTGCAGTCTAAATCGGTTCAGCTTTTAACAGAGATGAAAAAAAGGAACAACCAAATTGGAATTGCTGCAGTTATTCAAGTTTTATTGTACAGACGTGAATAAATTAATCTAATCTGTCATCTATCACAAAACTTTTTAGACATCCGCTCAAGGTTTTCAGTTTTGGCGCTTAAAACAAACAAACAAAGAAAAAGCCCACTCAGTATACTTTGATAGTTTATCAGCACGCAGGGTAAGGAGGGTAAGATATGCCGCCCACTCTTCTTTTTGGATTAAACCGTTGAAAGTTGTGACGAGCTAAGCGAGCCACATCTGAGATCTGGTTTGGGTTATGAGACACCCTCAGTGCAGACCGATCCTGAAAAATATGTTTAAAAACACAGTTTAATTTGTGACATGTACAGCACCCTCCGTAATTATGTTAACAAGAGCGAGAAACTGTATACTAGGAACAGCTGCTTATTTATTAATTATTAAATCAGTCAGCCCTGTGGCAGCTTGGACTGTATAAAAACCACACAGTTATCCAGTTCCTCACCTCCAGTTGTTTATTCAGTGGTCCTTTTGGGTTCTTCACATTAACACTGCTCTGCAGGTCGAGGCTGCTGGGTGGTGGCAGGGTGCTCTGCCCTGTGTTGGACCACCCTGATAGACAGTGCTTGAAGGTGGAAAAAAAAGAAAGAAAAGAAAGAATGCTTTGAGATGAATTTATAGATTTGAATACAGGGGCCATAACAGAAGGTGCAGAGATGGCTGATCGGCTATACAGACCTCATGGTCAAATTCACAATTGCGGGTACTTTACAGTCAGTACATCTGACCAATCAGTTTAAAAAAAAAAAAAAAAAAAAAAAAGATGCTAAAGCCTTTCTAGAGATGGGACACAAAACACTTCTGTATCATAGTATCTGGTAAAGTGATGGCATTACTTCAGACACAATAATTTTCCTCAGAGCTATATTCATACAAAGTCATGGTACTTGTGTAATATACCTGAGATACCAAGTAGGGCATCAAGCCACACAGGATGCATGAGGTCAAAATTTTCTTTCTGCGTCATAACAGGCCACAGTACTGCAAGTGTTCACTATGCTGAGCAACACGCATTCTGAGAGGTGCACATTTATGAGTAGTAATCTCGTGCATGCCTATCTCTTAAAGTTTGCAGCATTTAAATGTGCTGTGTCTACAGCACCATATTAAGGTGTTTATTGGTCTATATCGCCTGTACAGATACAGGCGATGCAGATTTGTCAGCTGCACCTCCATGATGTGGATCTCCTATTCTACCATATCCCAAATATGCCCTCTTGGACTGAGATCTGGTGACTGCAGAAGACATTAGAGTACAGTGAACTCACTGTCATGTTAAAGAAACCACTCGTAGATGAACATGGCCTCATTCTCCTGTTCTTAGCTTACAGGAGTGGCACCCAGTGTGATCTTCTGCTTTTGCCTTTTCCTATCAGGTCAATGCAACCTCACCCAGAGAAATGCGGCTCATGAGCTGCTCTGTCGCTTTCAGACCATTCCCTCTTAACCCTAGAGGTGGTTGTGTGGGAAAATCCCAGGAGATCAATAGTTTCTGAAATACTCACACCCACCCGACTGGCAAAAACAACTATGCCACGCTCAAAATAAGTTAACTCACCTTTCTTCCCTATTTTGGTTCTCACTTTCAGCAGTTTCAGCATGTCGTGTTGACCATGTCTACATGCCTAAATGCATTGCGTTGCTCCCATGTGACTGGTCAATTAGATATTTGTGTTAGAAAGCATATTAATGGGTGTACCTTACAAATTGGCCAGTGAGTGTGTGTTTGTGTGTATATACTGAAACATTACAGTTTATTAGATATAAGAGCAGCAAGTAAGACAATAACCCGTGCACACGGTCTAACTGTTTTTAGGAAGTGAGATGCTGCACCTTCAAATCACCAATGAATGGAAAGACACAATGGCTAGAAGGGGTTTTATTATTGTGGGACAGTGGTTCAGTCAAATTAAGTGGTGATGATCTTTAGTCATTAACCTGTAACTCACCGATGGTAATCCTAAACTGTCAGAAGGGTCAAAGCTGCATCGCCGATGAGCTTTGTATATGTAAGGTGGCAGAAGCCTGGTGCGAGGGATGCTGACCCTTAGAAATACAAGAGAAAGAAGATGAGTAAGAAATCTGAAGAAATCTATTGTGAGGTGATAATTTTTTCAAACTAATCCTGATAATTTTTTAGTCAATATCACACAGCAACACTACTGATTACAGCACATTTGAACAAAATGTAAAATGAGAATACAGGCGCTGTTGCTTTTAGTTATTAGGACTTGATACAGTGGAGGTTTCGGACGCCCCTTTCACAGGTTTCCCTTGCCTTGTTGCAGTGTATCATACTACAGATCAAAGCTACCATAGCTTGCTTTTTGTGTCGCTGCTGTTTTACTGAATTCAGAAACAGCTTCAGCTTTTAACATGTAAAATATGGGAAGGCAGAAAAAAATAACACAAGGTCTAAGTCCCTGCTGCACACAGTAGAGCTGCTGCCTCCTGTATTCAATTGAAAGTGACAGACTAATATATTTTAGATAAAACTGATGAAGTGCTTTAATGTTCATAAGTGGTTTAACAATGCAGTTCAAGTGCAGGCCATCAGTACCTGATTAGAGCAGGTTCAGCAACAGTGTGAGGGTGGGAGGATTTAGGCTTTTTGCACAAGGGACAGCACTCCTGAGAGTGGAGGGGGACCGGGAACAGTCTGCTGTTAATCCTGTAAGAGAATGTACCTGCACAAAAGGTGAGCAAGCAGAGACAAGTGTTAGATCAGCCTTAATGAGAGGAAATAGAAAGTGGCCTGTTCAGATAAATGCTCCCTCTTACACTGATGAGTGTCCATGTTAGCTTGTGGGCCATCCTTGTCTGTTAGCAGTTGTGTCACTGGCTGGTTCCCCTCAGAGAATCTGTGAGGAAAATCTTAATGAACCACAGGAAAACACAGTATGGATATATAATACAGATATTTAAAGAGCACCACTCACTCGGTTTGTCCACTGTGGACACACTCGTCCTTATTGAGCGATCGAAATACACAGAGATCATTGAAGAACTCGTCTGAGCGCTCTATCAAGGAGTCCTCAGTATCCAGCACTCCTAACAGGGTAAAAACAAACATCAGCTGTTATCGGTACTTCTGCTTCAAAGATAAAAAGTGGACTCAAGGGGTGGAGATGTCAGAAAGCAGCTAAACAGGACAGTTATAAGCACCTGGGTATCCCATCGGCCAACAGGAACCATAATAACAATACATGAAGGTCAGCTAAAGCTAAATACCTCCACAAGGTAAGACAGGTGCTGAGAAGCCAGCTCAATGTTAGGAAAAAGATCCAAGGCATCAATACAAACACCCTACCAATCACCAGATACCCAGCTGGAATAATAAGCTGGCCACAGAATGAGATAGACACTAATGATGTAAAGACACAAAAACACCTTACAGTGCACAGAGGTGTCTACCTGAAGTCCAGCACCCTGACGCTCTATGAGCAATGCAACGAGAGGCCAGAGCGACAGGATGAAACACGGAGCGTATGTGAATATACCATGAGGATCGCCCCTTGAGATGAGCTGCTTCAAGAATACCTCAGGCAGCTGAAGACAGACGGTGATGACAAAGAGGAAGAGGAACTATCACTGGACGACCAACCTCCTGCATAGGATGTACCATTGACATAAAACAGATACAGAGGAAGTGGCTGACACCAAGAAATCCTACCAGTTGCTAGAAAAGGCCGGCTTAAAGAACAGCACAAAGGTTCAGTCCGAACCTGGGTGGCTGGCTGGGATAATGTTCAGGAATATGTGTGCCCCATATGGACAAGTGTCCAACTCCCGATGGGAAATGCTACCACAGGTAGTAGAGAACAACGGGGCTAAGAAGTCTCTGTCCAGAAGTGCAGTCAGTACCTTAAACTCTGGTAGAGGATCAGAGCCTGACGAACATGCATACCACACTCCCAGGGGGCAACGGGGAGAATTTTGATATGATAATTTATCTTTCATCATTATTAAACAATTTAAATATCAGAAAACAGGTCTATGTAAAGAAAACTTAACATGCAACATTACACTAGAACTATACTCTGCCTTAATTCAAAAGAAAAAGCTGTAATAAATGTATTGTGATGTCTGTGGATGTCTCCACAATCAGACTTTTTAAATTATTTGTTAATCTAGGGCACCACAATAGAAAATGCAAAGGTTATATCTAGGTTATATCTATTTCACTACTGCAGGTTCTATGAGTCAGTACTTTCAAAAGCATATTGTGAAAATGTATTACATGTGGGATTAAAAAAAAGAAATCATGTAACTTGACTTTTCAGCATTATAGATTTCCTGTTACTATAACGATTAAATCAAAGGTCAGAGGAAAGGTCAAAAGGTTAAATAGATCTAATAATAAGATTTGAAATATATGCAAACTAATTTAACCTAAATTAGCAAAGCGTGGCTCCCTATATTTCAGGAGCATTTTGGCTGCAGATCAGTGCGATATGTGACAGACCGATAAAGCTTACCTGCTATCCAGTCGTATCCGAGTAAGGGTGGTAGGTGACGCCTCTCTGGGTCAAGGACGTCTTTGAAATCGTCCGACTGAAACGTGACCCTGCTCTGCACACCCCTCTACAAAAAGAAAGCAGGCAGTGCATTAGCAATCAGCATATTCTACTTCCACCTTTTCAGTGGACATAAAGCACACAGCTTGTTGCAGACTTGTAGTTTATAAACTAGTTGTAACGATATAAATACAAAGCTCCCAAACCAATGTAGATGTGAATTAGCTTTTTTGAAGGGGGATTGTCAGTGAAATACTAGTGAGTGCCTTTTCAGTTTGAGATGAATTCTTTATTCCTACTAACTTTATAAGAGTAACACAGGCAGGGTAATGCTGATGCTCCTTTGCTTACCTGTCCTTTGCTCGGATTTACTACACAGGACTTGGTGCTGAATGGCTCTGTGTCTTGTTTCTTGCTGCCTCTAATGAGATCTGATTTAACTGTTTGTTCAGCAGTTCCTTCTCTGTGTTTGGTGAAAGATGGTGTGAAAACAGTCTTTTTGATGACTGTTCTTTTCTCACAAGTGTCTGATGAAGACAGGAAGAAAATGATTTCTAAATGATTATTTCACACATTACATGCAGACCACAGGCTCACAGTCAAATGGAAAGTACCAGCAGGATAAAAAGGCTCCACAACAAAAAAACAAAACAAACAGAAAAAAAAACTGTCAATAGTGTCAATAGTGAAAAGGTGATAAAGACACAAATATTTTTTTTTATTTTAGTTACCGGTACATTTGAACACATATCAGTTAATTGTCATCTCTGATGAATGGTAATAAAGGTGCACTTTGTAGTTTTTCTTCCAGATACTTTCAAATTTTACACATCATTTCATCATGTATATACTAAATCCACTATTAAAAAAAAAAAACCAAGCATCATCCACTCTCTATAATAAAGCTCACATCTCCAGGGAAGAAATACTTATATTTAAAGTACTTTATTAATAATTACTTCAGGCCTCAGTCACACTACACCACGGAAAACCATTTGTCTTGCATTTGATTGCAAGTGTCTGAAGTGGAATGTTGAGCATCTTAATTTAATCAAACCTATCATACTATCGAGGGGCGTGAAAGAAATGTGAATATGTTGCACTGTGTGAGCGAACTGCTGCTTCACTGTGTCGAAATGTGACTAAAAAACTGAAACGCCCACTCTGCTTGCTGTAAAAAGAAAAAATAAAGTTTTATCCATTTATCTGTTCAGTTCAGTTCTGCTTTAATTCAGGGTTGTTAGGGAACAGAAATATGTGGGCCTTTGCTCTAAACACTCACAGTTACGGGGCAAAGCCAAAGTTTTGGCACTGCACTCAGCTTTGAGCAATCCATCCGTAAAAGTTACGCACTCATTCTGCTAAACTTGCTCTCCTCTCATTCCAAATAAATGAACACTCCTAAAGACAACTAATGCACATATATCGGGCGCAAAATAAGACTTTTTTGTGCTATTTGCAGGCATTTGCTAAAAACCTTAGCAACTCAATTGTGTGTGATTTATTACATTATATCCTCACTTGGAGAAGTAAATGATGGAGCAGACTAACTCCGACCGATCTTGGCAATTAATTTTCCATTTACAAATAAGACAGCGATTAACTGCAGACGTGATACAGGTTTACTCCCACAGTGTGGCCTATGCAGTCGCTTTGCAACCAAAGCTGGTCACTGAGAGGTTGAGGGTGCTGCACGCTTAACCTCTAGATCATAGGTGTCAAACTCTGGCCCGTGGGCCAAATTTGGCCCGCAGCCTATTACATTTGGCCTGCGAAGCCATACCAAATTACTATTAGAGCTGGCCTACCTGTATTATACAGCTAATATATATATTGTTTAGTATTAAGCTTTGCTTGTTCCATATTCAGTTTTTCAGCAAAACTTGTTTGAGTCCATAAGAAAAGATTCATTCTTATATCTGGAGGAAGATTTTTTTTTTCAATAAATATTAACGTTAGCCCGCGACTTTGTTCCAGTTTTGAATTTTGGCCCACTGTGTATTTGAGTTTGACACCCCTGCTCTAGATGACAATTTGGTTGGTGCAACTATTTGCAATCAGTCCCAGACAGCAAAAAAATTCATTCCAATCACTCACCAACCACCACCTCTCGTGATCGCACAGAAGTTACCGGCCTATTTTTCCTCTAGTGTGACTGAGGCCTTAGTGAAATCCGAAACAGACTATGAGAGTTTGAGAGTAAATATGTGAAGTTTGGCTCTGTAATGTCTGTTACAGCATCAGGCGCTGCAAGTTCTAACTGGGAATGAAGCAGTAAAGTGACGGTGAGGTTAGGGTCTTTTCACTCAGGAGTGAGGCAGCAATTGCACCTTCTGTTGCAAAACCAACAAACATTGCACATTACATTTCTTCAGAGACGCCCACATAACAAGGCTTTCTGACTGCGAGATGTGAAACAGCAGTCGCGGTGCACAGACCCAGTTCAGTTTCACAGACTGTAGAACAACCCACATGGCACAGTAGCAGTATCTGTATTAACACACAGACTGCTCTGGATATGATAGCAAATTACCTTTTTTATCTTGTACACAAATATTTTGTTCTTGGTAGAATACTGAAATGAATGAGCTGTGTTTGTGTTTATACATTTATAAATTTGCCCTTTTTCAATCTGGCTGTCTGTGATTGAGAGAATCAAACCCCATGTGTGGCTTCTTCGTGGTCTGCCAGTAGCGAGTCCACCTCTAGATGTTACAGCACCACAGATCTGATGTAGATAGCAACAGATTAGAGATTTATCACAGCTAATTGGGGGATTATTGCAAATAGATTGCATGTAAGTGGCAACTTGATCCTTTTCAATCAAAAACTGATTAAACAGGATCAAGACTGAGTCCATCGTATTTTCATTTTATTGTAGTCTTGACACACCAAGGTCATTTTGCAGATGGCAACTGACTGGGAGTGGTCTCAGACCTGGTCACTGACTTCGAAATAATATGTTACTATTTCATGAAAAATATATGTTGACTTTCATTTTGATGGCAGCAAAACATGGGCCAGGGGCAACGAAGGCTGGAAAAGTAAATGGTACTAAAAAGAAACAGCTAGAGGAGCAGGTCAAGATGATTGGATTAAAAAAAAAAAAGCGTTTTAAACAGGCAGAGTTTCCCAGAATCAAAGATGGGCAGAGGTTCAGCAATCTGTACAAAACAGCATGTACAGCTTGTGGAACAGGTTCAGAATAATTTCTTCAATGTGAAATTAAAAAGATTTTGAATATCTAATCTACAGTACATAATATCATCAAAAGATTCCAAGAGTCTGAAGAAATCTCTCTACACAAAACACAAGGCTGAGAATCAATACTGGATGCCCATAGTCTTCTGACTATCAGGCAGCACTACATTTAATGATGACTCTCTCATGGAAATCACTACATGGACTTAGGTAAAGTGAAAACAGTTTCTTTTTGGAAAACATGGCTGCTATGTCCTTTGGACTAAAGAGGAAAAGGGGCATAGAGCTTGTTAATAATGCTCATGGCATGGGGATGCATCAGCATGAAACTGGCATCTGAAAATGTCTCATGAGTGCTCAAATATATCCTCGTTTCCAGACTTCTTTTTCAGGGAAAGTCTTGGATATTTCAGTTCCTCCATGCTGCATGTATTTCAACAGCATGGCTGCTGGGCATTGAACTGGCAAGCGTACAGTTACTTCTAACCAAGTAAAAGCATTTGACACATCATGAAATGAAAAATTTGACGAAGGAGACCATCTGAGCAGCTAGAATCCCCCAAAAGACAAGAATGGGACAACATTCCTGTCCCACAAATCCACCATGTGGTCTCCTCAGTGTCCAGACGTGTACACAGTGGTAAATATGATCCTGTCCCAAGTTTTTTGAAACGTGTTGCTGCCATCAAATTCAAAATGGCATTATCTTCGCCTCTAAAACCGTACGTTTTCTAGTTTAAACATTTGTTCTAATGTGAATATGCGCCTACGAGATCTGCAGATCATCGCAGTCTGTCTTTATTTACGTTTTACACGTTCTTGGAGTTGGGGCTGTATATGCGAAGGAGTTTAATCTGGCTATCTGGTAAACAAAACGTCGACAGCTTTGGTTTGTTGTGATGTGAGGTCTGGATTGATCAAGAGCAACTCTGATGTGACCTTAGCTCATTGCTAATTACTTTCTGTCGTGCTGCTGGCGTCAAGTAAACAAACAGTTTAATTACCGGCAAACTTCACGGAAGACTTGGCTAGGGCCGCCCTTGCAGGGCCGCGGTCTCCACCGGTCATCCCGATCGTTTCTTCAAGTGGTCTTCTCTCCTCAGCTCCATCCTCTCTCTCCCTCTTGCGGCTTTCACGGCAGCCGCACAGCCGCTCCAGTTTCTCTCCATGCTGCCTCAACTGGTCCAGTAACTGTTTATTGCGCTCTCGCAACACCTCCAGCCGATCCATGGACATTTAGTTTTAATATTAGAGAAAGCAAATAAAATGTAGCTTTAATTAAAAGTACATCAAACACACAAAGAAACTTTCGGGATCTTCTATGCTTTCAATTAGGCCGACTCCATAACAACGCGTTGACAACAGTGGTTTGATTGGCTGTTAACATTTTACCCACAATTCTGAGCCTTCTTAAAGTGACAGCCACACGTGTAACTATAAATTTTCACTACAAGGCCAGATGTTGAACAACAGAGGGCGCCACACTTCCATGATGGAAACACTGATGAGACTGATGGGTGACTTCCCCAGAAACAACAGGACCCACGTTTTCTAGGATATTAGCTGGCTTTTTCTCCCCCATTTTCACCCCCCCCTTTTTAAAAAGAAACACTTATAAGTAAATTTTTATGTTTCTGTTTTCAGTAAGTTTCTGCTACTACTTAATTTTCCCCCCAAGATGCATGAAGAAGTGACCAAAGTCTAAAAAATATCAAATTCTTCAGTAGCATAATTTTATATTGAACCCGATGACGGTCACAATGCCCGACAAGTTTATCTCACAATAAAAGTATCCTGTTACCTGTACTATTTTAATAAATGTATATGTATAATATATGTACTTCAGTAGTTACTTGTTATTTTTTGTTATATTTTTACTTTTGCCTTCCTCTCCACTCAAAGCACTTTGGTCATTTTCCTCTAACCTCTGGCATCAACAAGGCATTTTCTTTCAGAGAACCGCCACTCACTGCATATTTTCTCTTTTATCAAACCATTCTCTGTAAACCCTAGAAATGGTTTTCTGGGGAAATCCCAGCAGATCAGCAGCATCTGAAATACAAGTCCAAAGTCCCTTAAATCACCCTTATTCCTTCAACAGAACTTCTGTACTGTAAAATGGTTCCAGTTAGTGATTTGCTATTAAATATGATATTTTTTGGATTAACATCACCTTCTGCATACCCATTGCCAAGATAATTGAGGAGTTTTGAAATTATGTATTTATTTTTAAAGTAGGAGAAAAATTTTTAAATGCCATAAAGGAGAACATAATCCAAAGTTCATTATAAATATTAAAATTAGCAACATCATGAACAATGTACCTTAAAAGCAGTTTGTTCCTATGATGTACTAGTTACATTCCAATACATTTTTAATGTTGATATACATAACCATATAATATTTAATCATGCCTCCATAACTTTGCAGCCTTTTGTTTTTTGTAAAAAAAATTTTTAGTGTTTCTGTAAAAGTACTTGGTTGCTCTCTACTTATTGATAAGGTCAGTGATGTAAAAAATATGAATGCACAAGGTCAAACTTAGTCTTAAAGCCATTCACAAAGCATGTTTTAAAAATTTTACAAAACACGAGCCCAACAACATCCAGCTAATAAATGAAAAGAAAAAAATGTTATTTATAGCACAAGAAAAACAAAACAAGATACGATAGACTACAGAGAACAGAACAAGCCTTTAAAGGCTGAGTTGAGCCTAAACAGTACCATCGGGGTTTCAAAGAAAACAAGGACAAAATGTTCCCAAGAAACCCATATTAGGTGCAAGGAAGACCAGGCAGCTCAGAGGAAAATCCTCCACAGGCCCCTACAAGAGGTGCTAGAAAATAATAGAACCTTTGGTGAATTTGCAGTTAAAACTACTTGTATTTACAGCCTTTATGTCATACACAGTTTAGGATATTTGGCATGTAGTAATGAACTTGTTTGCAAATTTCCTAAATGAAGACACAGGCTCCCTAATAACTGCAAAACCCACCCATCACTTGTCAGCAAACTATAATTATTCTACTTCAGGGTCTGACATACTTCTTGTTTTCAGTACTCGGACATCTCCAGTTGTCATTGATACAGCCAGAGAGGCATTCATTTTTAAGACCACAATTTTTAATGTTACTGTGTTATACTGACTTGTCTTTGTACTATTTTGCATGTGCATTTTACTAAAACGAATTGAGATGAACAGCAGAAACAAGAGCATTAACGTCTCTCTGAGCCCTAACTGTAAATTGCAGTAATAAATTATATGAAGGCACTTTAAGTGACTGACCTGTTGCATTTGGACTGGATTTAAGTCTATGGCTGTATCTAATATTTTTATCTAACATACAAGCAGCTATCGTCATGACTGTATTTGAACATGACCCAGCTGATGTTTTTGCCCAGCTGCTGCTATTTACTCGTAAGATTAAAAATATAGAAGAGCGCTGGTTAACATTTGCTTACAGTTGTACTTTATTTATTTTGTTTATCTGTCTCAGTGGCAGTAACTATACTTTGCCCATGAAGTTCAGGATGTGTCTTTATCCTATGATTCTCTTATACATACAAACTTTAGTCTCTATGAATATAAACTGAGAGAAACTACAGCAATGAACATGCACGCTTCAGTTTCCTGTTTTTCTCAGTTTTAAATGTGATGTCGTCATCAGAACTTTTTTTATACCTTAGAGTTCTCGTAATACACCAAGTACTACCGAATCAGCACATTCTTTTCCTGTTGCCACGCTGCCGTTAGCTGATGATATTCGTATCAGATAAGAGCATGCAAAGATCAATCAATAATCAGAATTTCTTGCCAACTTCCTGTAGATCAGCACCCTCATTTTCTTCTCATTGTATGACCTTTCAAGGGCAATCTGTGCTTGTAAAAGTGTAGACAGCAGCATGTGGTCACTCTTTTTACTGGGTGGCTTGATGACATTGGTTTATTTACATTAAACTGTCCATGCGTGGTAGCACTAATGACATTGTTGCAGGTGTTGCAGGGTCACACCTATAATCATATGCCTGATCCCCTGTGGAGTGAATGGTGTGGAACTGTGTGGGCGAGCACCTGCTCAGTATTCCAGTCACGGCTCGTTTGCACTGAGAGCTGTCCAGGCCGGCCCAGTATGATTAGCTGACCACAGTAGTGTGGCGTTGCACCCCATTATCATTAAACAGTACCAGTCATGAAGTCATATACTCCTCCCTGTCTCTCTAATTACACCCCCACTGTTGGGCTCTGAGCAATTACTGCCCGCCGCCAGAACGTTTCATTGTTCATTAGGCACAGATAACGGACACATCAACAACAAAAACAAAAGAAAATGTGAAAATATTCATATTTCTGATAACGAAATCACCTAAGAAAGACATTTTCTTTTCAAAGAAACCACTGATGTGTTCAGAAGAATGGCTGTGCAATTATTAGAAAATGAGTCCCATGACCCAGAGAAACGGTTATATTTGTCGTGATGTGTTCAGAAGGACCGTTTCAAGACTTTGTATCCTTTCCTGTTTGGCTCTGTGTAATGAAGCTCTTACTAAATACTAAATCAGCATAGTACAATTGGCTCACATATAGAGGGAAAGAACTGTTTACCATTACAGTTGCTTAAAGCTATTCATGTATAACTTAGCTTATAATAATAAAGAAACAAATAGCATTAGTGACAATAGGTATTAGTCAAGTCAAGTCAAGTCAAGTTTATTTATAGAGCACATTTAAAAACAACCAAGGCTGACCAAAGTGCTGTACAGTAAATACAGATAAAATACAATAGAACACAATTTCGTAGTAACACCTCGCTGATAAAAATAAAATAAAAATAGATAAAACAAATAAATTAAACCTTTCTAAAAGCCAATGAAAAGAGGTGAGTTTTAAGAGCGGTTTTAAAAGTTTCTAGGCTTTTGGAGAGTCTGACGTGAGGAGGTAAGCTGTTCCACAGTCTGGGTGCAGCCACAGCAAACGCCCTCTCTCCCTTTGTCTTTAATTTATACCTGGGAACATCTAAAAGCATCAGGTCGGCTGACCTCAGAGATATTAATAAGAATTAACATATAGACTGTATACAAAAGCCTGGAGAGCCGCTGCTATTTTAGTTTTTGGGTTTTTGGAGTGAGAATTGACAATATTTAGATGAAAGGACTGAGTGTTGCCAACTAACAGGCAAATTTATTTAGAAAATTATTTCTATGTGTAATTTGTGATGAGATACAAGTGAAATAAAACTGGAGCATAGCTTTCTTTGACTTGCTGGGAGTACATTACATGCACCTTAAGCTGTAGTATTTAGCAGATAATTCAATAAAAATGCTCCAAAAGGCACCAACGGCACAAATATGAGCTGGAGTTAAAGCTGCCCAGTCGGACTCACCCTACCTTCAAAAGAGCCACACCCTAATAATATATAACTTTTGTCCAACAAGATTTCTATAAAAATCAAACCTCAGTAGCTGTTACGAAGAAGAAATCTACTATAGCTATAAACATGTTGTTAATCGCTCTAAGTTGGGCATTTTAACATTTGAAAAAGGAGAGATCATTTGGAACAACTGAACATGAGTTGAAATAGACAAATTTGTTTTTATTGTCTTCACTAATTATTGTAGAAATGAAAAATCACAGCGATTTTTGCAAATTGATGATGATTCATCTCACGAATTATGACACACTGCTCTCCCCTACATAAACCTTCATAGGTTCAAAGTGTCAGTATCAATATTGGTATCATCAGTACTGTCCCTGTATTAACTTGGTATTAGAGCAATATCATGGCAGAGAGCACTGAGATTTAAACCACGCAGAGTGGAGGCTGATTGGCTCAAAGAAAGTGGGGAAGAAGATATTAGACTCGTGTAATGATATCACTAGTAATGATGTCGCTTTGCCGCACTGAGTTTGATAGCATGGGAAAGTGGTAGTGAAGAAAAGAACAGACTAGCAGCCAAACACCCAGGAAAGCAGGCAAATGGATGAATACAGATCTTACTTATTTGAAATTATGCATAAGTTCAATAAGGAAGATCTGCATAATAGTAATAGAAATTTGGCACTAACGTCAAATGGCCAGTGGAGCACCTAGGGGTGTGCCCACAAGGGGTTGGTAAGCAAGACAATTTTAAATCGCAGATGTGATTGTTACCTCATTTACCAAGAGTAGTCATTGGGACAATTTGGTTGTGTGCACACTGGACGCTTGTCACATATTGCTTTGAAACTGATGGCATTCAAGCCTCTTGTTGCATAGATGCCTAGATGTATTTACTACCGGGTCATATGTCAATCAAAGGTATTCTTCATTGTTAATAGTGGTCACTTCATTACTTGCCTGGAAGTAGGAGTGCCAAAGACA